TCCATTTACGTTCAAAGTAATTATTGATAGGTATGTACTTACTGCCATTTTGTTACTTGTTTGATGGTTGTTTTTTGTAGTTCCTCTTGGTTCCTTTATTCTCTTGCTTCTTCTCTCATGGTTTGCTGGCTTTCTTTAATGACATATTTGGATTCCTTCCTCTTTATTTTTAGCATATCTATTACTGGTTTTTGATTTGCGGTTACCAATACATTTGTGTATAATATTTTCTGCATGTAGCGGTCTATCTTCAGTTGATAGTGGGTTGAGTTTGAACCCATTCTTTACTCCTCTTCCCTCCACGTTTTAGGTATATGGTTTCATACTTTACATCCTTTTGAGAGTCCCTTCACTGATTTTTACAGATGAAGTTATTTTTACTGCTTTTGTGTTTGTTACTTTTCTTACTCTTACTTATGGTCTTTTGTTTCCACTCAGAGCCACCTTCAGCATTTCTTGCAAGGCTGGTTTAGTGGTCATGAACTCCTTTAGCTTTTGTTTGGGAAATTCTTTATGTCTCCTATTTTAGGAGGCCACTTTCTTCTGATCTGCAAAGTTTCTGCTGAAAAATCTGTTGATAGCCTTATGGGGTTTCCCTTGTATGTAACTATTTTAACTGCTTTTATTTTTGTTTTATTTTATTTTTTTAAGATTTTATTTATTTGAGAGAGAGAGTGAGCAAGTGAGAGCGAGAGAGAACACGAGTGGGGGGAGAGGCAGAGGGAGAAGCAGGCTCTCTGCTGAGCAGGGAGCCAGATGCGGGGCTTGATCCTAGGACTCAGGGACCACAACCTGAGCCGAAGGCGGATGCTTAAATGACTGAGCCACCTAGGTGCTCCTCTTAACTGCTTTTAAAATTCTCTCTTTATCACTACTTTTTGCCATTTTAATTACTAGGTGTCTTGGTATGGGCCTCCTTGGGTTGATTTTGTTGGGGGGGGTCTCTGTGCCTCCTGGATCTGGATATCTGTTTCCTCACCCAAAACAAGGACGTTTTCAGCTGTTATTTCTTGAAATAAAATTTTTGCCCTCTTTTCTCCATCTTCTTCTAGGATCCTTACAAGGCAAATGTTATTACACTGGATGGAGTTGCTGAGTTCCCTGAGCCTATTCTCATTTTGCATTTTTTTTTCTCTCACCCACTCACCTTGATTACTTTCCATTACTCTGTCCTCATCCATTCTTCTTCTTCTAGTTTATTTATTCCCTCTAGTGTCTTTTCAATTTCATTTAATCTGTTCTTCTCTGACTGGTTCTTTTTTAATCTCTTTGTTAAGGGCCTCACTGATGTCCTTCAGTCTTTTCTCAAGTCCAGTGAGTATCTTTATGACCATTACTTTAAATTCTCTATCAGGCAGATTACTTATCTCTGTTTCACTTTGGTCTTTTGCTGTGATTTTGTCCTGTTCTTACATTTGGGACATATTCCTCTGTCTCCTCATTTTGTCTAACTCCGTGTCTGTTCCTATGTCTTCAGAAAGTCAGCTACAGCTCCCACTCTTGAAAGTAGTGGTCTTCCGAGGAAGAGGTCCTATAGTGCCCTGCCGCACAGGGTCCCCTTTTCCCCAGAGCCTGGCGTTTCCAAAATCTCTCGTGTGTGTGTTGCAGGCACCCTAGTGTTGTGGCTGAGCCACTTCTTCCACCAGGCCAGTCGTCTGTAGTGGCCCTCTTTGCCCGTCGTGGGCAGGGTTCAGTGCTGGTGGCTGTAGGGGCCATTCTGGGACCGCCCTGGGTTTGAGCTGAGTCAGACGAGGCACTTGCCAGAGCTGTGGCAGCACCGAAGTGCAGGCCCTTTCCCTTTGTTTTCCTCCGAGAAGCTTTCATTGGTGCGTGCAGCCTGTAGTCAAACCAGATGTCTGCCCGCAGCCCACTGCTGGGGCCGCAGTCTGACTGGTGTGTGTGGTTATATGTCCCTCTCCCTGGGGCAAGAGTCACTTTGGAGCGGTGCTGGCTCCTCTCAGGGCTGTTTGTACACTGCCATGCCTATGGCCCGCGTTTGGATGGGCTCCTGCCAAGAGTGGATTGGAGGGGGCCGAGATGCAAAACGCACAGGGGCCGGGCATCCAGTTTTAGCAAGGCTTGTGGGCTGGTCCTCTTGTGAGAGGGAACCGGCCGCCATGTCTGGGACTGACCACAGGGTGGGAGGAGGCAGATCTGTAACGCATGGGGCACAGAGTGTTTGCAAGGTTTGCGCCCTTCTTCCGGGGGAGGAATCCTGTCTCGCTGGGACTCAGGCAGGCCTGACTGCAGGGGGCAGATCCGCTTGAGCACGGTGGGATGGGACGGGGCTCAGTGTACAGAAGTTAAGTAGTGAATGTTGGTGCGGCCTGGTTCCTGCAAGTGGCCGAGGATTGATGCTGGGGGACAGAAGAGGGAGAGGGTGCCTTCCAGCTCCTTTGTTCCTGGAGGAGTCTCCCAGTGACATCTGTCCCTCCAGAACGCCTGAGGTTAGTGACTTACACTCCCTCCCGTATGCGCCAGGCATTTTTCAAACTCCGGCTTCTGTGCTGTATCTCCTTGGCTCATGTGTCGGGCCATCTCCTTAAGGGTGGGGACTCGGCTTCCTGTCGCCCTCAGGGCTCTCCCGGAGCTGAGCCTGCTGAGTTTTATAGTTGGCTAGCTGCTGGTTGTAAGAAATTTGGCCCCTCTGGTTTTTAAAGCCAAATGCTATGGTGATCGTCTCCTATGCGGGCTCCCTGGTGTGAGGGTCTGTTTCTCTCCCGTCTCCACTTCCTTGGCATCCGTCCTCCTGCGGACAGACCTGTGGTCCAGTTAGCTCCCCACGGCTCTGCCCTCCCCGCCCTCTTCAATGTGCCTCTTCTCTACGTTTCGTTGTAGAGTTTGTTCTGCCATTCTTGGACCGTTTTCTGGGTTGTTTGCACCGATGTGACTGTTATCTACTTGTACCCTGGGATGAGGTGAACCTAGCGTCCTCCTACTCCCCCGTCTTCCCCCATCCCTCCTGCAACTTTCTGTATCCATTCAGCTTTCGTTGTAGCGCTCTTGCCACGAATCACTGCCCACTCACATGGCTGAAGCTTCTACTGATACTCTTCATCTTCTGGAGTTTGTGGCCTGGACTTGGGGCAAGGAAACTGCGACAGCAATTTGCAAAAGGTCTCCCCCCACTTTTCTCTTTAGTCTCTGTGGACAGCGCTTTGGTTATCTCCCCGGGTGTTTGTATTTGGAAGACATGATGAGATTTACAAACTTAAGGGACAGAGAAAGCATGCAAGTGTTCCTCTTGAAGTTTTGGGGTAGCTGCTCTTTATATTTTTCCTTTGTGGGGGCGCCTGGGTGGCTCAGTCAGTGAAGCTCTGCCTTCAGCTCTGGTCACGATCCTAGGGTCCTGGGATTGAGCCCCGTAAGGAGCCTGCTTCTCCCTCTCCCTCTGCCTGCCGCTCCCCCTGCTTGTACGCTTTCTCTGTCAAATAGATAAATAAAATCTTTAAAAAAAAATAAATTTTTTCCTTTGTGTCAGGGGTCAGAGTCATGGGCCACTTTATCTGCTTCCTCATCAATTACCACAACACCCTCCTCTTTGTTCTGATCGCCTTCTTAGAGATTCCATCTCTTAGCGTCTGAACCAGGCTTCGTTGATCGGAGGTGTCTTGTGCCCTCATCCTCATAGCTTGCTTCTTACTCTGCCTTCCCACCTTGTCCGCCAGCCCGGAAGGCAGCAGACTGGGGGACATTCCCACGTCCGTCTCTAATCTCAGCTCTTTAACTCAAGCCACAGCCTCTAGCTGGGCCTCAGTGGCCACATGAACTGCCCACAGTCGAGGCCAGCCCAGCGCGCACCCTTGTCTTCCGCTTCTTTGCCGCAGCCCACAGTCCCCTAAATGAGCCAGCATTTTCAGGGCGCCCCCATACTCACGCGGCCATCCATAAGCATCTGAGCTAGGGACCGCCCCTCTGCACACAGAGGTCGGTGGCCTGCTCAGGACTTCCCCTGATGCCTTTTGCCCCGAGGCCCATTTCTTCAGTGGTAATCTCCTTGGGAGCTTCCCGGATGTGATCTTAAATCGGTCCCCGCACGTGGAGGGTGGGGAGAGACCAAAGATGCAGCCACTCCAGGTCGGAAGGTGGCAGGTTTAATAAGCAAAGGGAATTTATTGACAAAGCTTGTCTTGGGCGGAGCCCTGTGCCCACCTGCTACATCTTAAAAGTTTACCAAGAGGCCTTAACTGGGTTCAGTCTTAGGAACCATGCACTGTTCTCAGCTCCACATCACTGTCTCAAGGTCGTGTCCTTGCAGCCCCTTCTGGGAGTGGGAAAGGCAAGCGGAACCCACATTCCGAGGATGGGGGAGGGGGGCAGGCGCCTCTGATCATCCGGGTCCTGCTCCTGGGTCAACCAGTGATCACATCTTTCGATGACCTTCCCCAACACATTTGGTCACAGTTGATGTGACCCACTGTTCATCCATCCATCCATTTGTCTTTCTATTGCCTTTTATTGATCCATGCATTCATTATCTGTTCATCCTGTTTTTTTACCCTTCTATGATCCCATCCATCCGTCTGTCCACCCACCCTTCCATCCATCCATCTTTACAGCTGTCCATCCCTCATTCCTTCCTTCTCTCCGTTCAGGCATCCGAGAGACATTTCAGTAGAATGATGGAGACTGTGGGTTCTGCAACCCGACTGGGCATGAATCCCAGCCCTGCCGTTTACTAGCTGTGTGTCCTTGGTCAAGTTTCCCGACCTGTCGGTGCCTCAGTTTCCTCATCTGTAAAGTGGGGATAGCGATAACCCTGTTTTTCTGTAGGAAGGTCGCGATCACTTGATACTGAGCACTTGCTGGGTGCCTGGTACGTAGTAACTGTCAGACTGGCCTCCATCACGAGTCTTCTGAGGTCACTGGTCCATGACCCCCTGGACTTCTGTGTCCGCCTCTGTCCGCCCCTCTGTCCACTCCCCGTCCTTTGGTCCTGCCCCCGCTGGTTGGCTGTCGGGCATGCTGGCGGCGTCCCAGCGGAGGCTGTGTCGGTCCAGGTGCTGAAGGAGAAGAAGCAGGCGACGGAGCGGCTGGCGTCGCTGTCGGCCCAGAGCGAGAAGCGGCTGCGGGAGCTCGAGCGGCACGTGCAGCTCATGCGACAGCAGCAGGGGCAGCTGCAGAGGCGGCTTCGCGAGGAGACGGAGCAGAAGCGGCGCCTGGAGACGGAGATGAACAAGCGGCAGCACCGGGTCCAGGTCGGGCTTGTGGGGGGAGGCGCGGGCGCCGGGGAGGGGAATGGCCGTGGGGGGAGGGGCAGCAGGCTGGATCTCGGTCCCCGCCCCGCCCCCCCCCCCCCCCCCGGGGCTGTGTGACCGCCTAGGCCGGTCGCTTGGCCTCCCCGGGTGTGTTTGGCCTGGAAGGGAGCAGGGCCGTGGGCACCGCGAGGCTCGGGGGGCGAGCCCGTCTCCACGGGGGCTTCGGGCGGCCCGGGCAGCCCCTGGAGAGAGCCGGCGCGCCCCCGCGGCCCCGCCGCCGAGCCGCTCGCCTGCTGCATCCCCAGGAGCTGGAGCGGAGGCACGAGCAGCAGCAGAAGATCCTGAAGATCAAGACGGAGGAGATCGCAGCGTTCCAGAGGAAGCGGCGCAGCGGCAGCAACGGCTCTGTGGTCAGCCTGGAGCAGCAGCAGGTGCGCCTGCGCCCCCGGGAGCGCCCGCCGGCGCCCTTCTCCCCGCCCCGCCCCCCCCCAGCCCTGGGCGGCGGCCCCTTGGGCCCCGGGGCAGGAGCTGAGTTCCGTCCCCGCCTCCCCCTCCCTCCGCTAGAAGATCGAGGAGCAGAAGAAGTGGCTGGATCAGGAGATGGAGAAGGTCCTGCAGCAGCGGCGGGCCCTGGAGGAGCTGGGGGAGGAGCTGCACAAGCGGGAGGCCATCCTGGCCAAGAAGGAGGCCCTGCTGCAGGAGAAGACGGGGCTGGAGAGCAAGCGCCTGCGGTCCAGCCAGGTGAGGCCCCCCGCATGCGGGAGGGGGGCCCCGCAGCCTCCTTCGCGTCAGCCCTGTGCGGGCGGGGCCTGCTCCCTCCCCGACCCCTGGCGGTGCCGCCCCCAGGCCCTCAGCGAGGACATCGTGCGAGTGTCCAGCCGGCTGGAGCACCTGGAGAAGGAGCTGTCGGAGAAGAGCGGGCAGCTGCGGCAGGGCAGCGCCCAGAGCCAGCAGCGGCTGCGCGGGGAGATCGACGCCCTGCGCCAGGAGAAGGACTCACTGCTGAAGCAGCGCCTGGACATCGACGGCAAGCTGAGGCGGGGCAGCCTGCTGTCGCCCGAGGTAAGCCCTGCCGCTTCCCGAATGTGCTTTTCCCGCCCGTGAGACCCAGAGAAGGGGCTGGCGGCCAGGGACATGCTGGCCTGGCCCTGCCGCGGGCTCTGGCCCCCGTGGCTGGGACACCCGGGCTGGGGCCTCGAGGTTCCTGCCCAGGGGGAGCCTGGGTCCCCCCCCCCCCCCCCCCCCCGCGTCCTGCACGGTGTCAGCCCGCGTGTCCCACGCCTGGGCCCCCCAGGTGGGAGTGAGTGTCAGCAGCACATCCCCGCACCCCGTGGCCAGTCCCAAGCAGCGGGGAGAGCCTCGTTGAAGTCACCTCACCCCCGCAGACCCTCCGTGGCCTCCGTGGCCTCTGTGGCCTCTGTGGCAGTCCCGCCATGCCTTCCCTTTGGCATAGAGTGTTCTGTGCTCCCTGCCGTAGATCACGGGAGAGGCGCTGCCGAAAGCAGCCTCTCAGAGCCCTGGCCTCCTCCTGGGGTCGGGGCTGTGATGGAAATTGCCTGTCCCCTGTCATAGCGGGCAGGGACCCTGCTCCTGACGTGCTGACTGCCTGCTCAGGACGAGGGGACACGATGTCTCCCTCATGGCCGAGGGCTGGCCCTGTCTGCCCGGGGCTGTCGTTCCGGGAGTGGGCGCGGGAAGCCGGGCCTCCCCGTCCACATGTGCCCGTGGCCCGCAGGAGGAACGGACGCTGTTCCAGCTGGACGAGGCCATCGAGGCCCTGGATGCGGCCATCGAGTACAAGAACGAGGCCATCACGTGCCGCCAGCGGGTGCTGCGGGCTTCGGCCTCCTTGCTGTCCCAGTGTGAGATGAACCTCATGGCCAAGCTCAGCTACCTCTCGTCCTCGGAGACCAGAGCCCTACTCTGCAAGTATTTTGACAAGGTGGGTCAGTGGCTCCCAGGCCCCCGGCCGCCGCCTTCTGGCGCTTGCCGGGGGTGGGGGTCCTTTTGGCAGCTGCAGAGAAGGCCCTGTTTCCCCCCAGGTGCGGGGACAGAATCGGGGCTAACTCCAGTCTCCAGGGCTGCCCCATACTCTCCTTTTTAAAAACCTTTCTTAGTGAAAGTAAGCCCCGGGCGCCTGGGTAGCTCAGTTGGTTAAGCGACTGCCTTCGGCTCAGGTCATGATCCTCGAGTCCCTGGATCGAGTCCCGCATCGGGCTCCCTGCTCAGCAGGGAGTCTGCTTCTCCCTCTGACCCTACCCCCTCTCATGTGCTCTCTCCCTCTCTCTCATTCTCTCTGGCTCAAATAAATAAATAAAATCTTTAAAAAAAAATAAAAAATAAATAAAAAAAGAAAGAAAGTAAGCCCCAGTCCTCTCCCCACTCCTTTCCCCTGGTCGATTGGCCCCTTCGGTGTCCCCAGGTCAGTGGTTCTCAACAGGAGGGTTTTGCCCCCAGGGGACATGTGGCCATGTCTGGAGCCGCTTCTGGTCCTCACCGCAGCAGGGGTGGAGACCAGGGACGCCGCTAGGCCTCCTACAACACACCGGAAAGGCCCCCCCCCCCCCCCCATTCTCTGCCTGCAATGTCCGTAGCGCCAAGGCTGAGAAATCCTGCCCACGGTGACATCCCACCGCTCGAGGCAGGGACAGGACGGAAGCTTCGTCTTGAGAGCGTACTCTCGTCACTGGGAAATCACTGCCTGGCACACCGTCGAGGAGTCTGAGGCCCAGTCTCGGCTCAGCAGGGCCCCCTGGTGATTTCCCAGTGACATGGGCCGCGGGGCAGTGGTGGCACGTTTGCCGGGCCCCTGCTGCCCCGCTCGGGGACGAGCTGGGGCGCTGAGCGTGTCTGGGTTTGGGACAGGCCGTGGCGCTCCGAGAGGAGCAGCACCAGCAGCAGATTGCCTTCTCCGAGCTGGAGATGCAGCTGGAGGAGCAGCAGAGGCTGGTCTGCTGGCTGGAGGCGGCGCTGGAGCGGCAGCGCCTGGAGACCGACCGCCAGCTGACGCTGCAGCAGAAGGAGCACGAGCAGAACGTGCAGCTGCTGCTCCAGCAGAGCCGGGGTGAGCGCCCCGCCCCCTCCGCCGCACGCCCCGCCCCCGCCCCGCCCCGCCGCGCGCCCCGCCCGCGGCCCCTCACCCCCTGGCCCTGGGTCTGTCCCCTCCAGATCACCTCGGTGAGGGGTTAGCAGACAGCAAGAGGCAATATGAGAGCCGGATCCAAGCTCTGGAGAAGGAGCTGGGCCGCCACATGTGGCTGAACCAGGAACTGAAGCAGAAGCTCAGTAGTTGGAGCGCTGCCGGCCCGGGCAGGGGTAATTCTCCCCGAAACCAGCGAGCCAGCCCCCCGCGTTCCCCGCTTTGCAGTGTCAGGCTTCGGCCGTGGGGGAGGCTTAGGAACCACGCTAACCAGCTCTTCCCGGGGCGGCTCACACGTGGCCCACGGTGCAGGGGGGCTGGGAAGCCTCCGTGTCTGACCACAGAGCCCTTTCAGTGACAGGTGTGGAGAAGAGGACCTTGTGCCTGGAGAACAGGCCACCCCCGGGAAACGAAGAGGAGCCCCCCGCCGCACCCGAGCTTCTCTGGCAGCAGGCCCTCCCGGATGGCGCCCCCCGCGCCCGGGACGAGGTGCGGGACTTGGTCCGGGCCCCGCTCCCGCTGACGTGGAAACGCTCAAGCCTGTGCGGTGAGGAGCAGGGCCCGGCCGAGGAGGCGCGGCTGCGGGAGGCCGCTGAGCCCCTGGCAGGGCGGGTGCAACCCGGAGGTGAGGTGGGTCTGCCCTGGAACTTCGGGCCCCTGGCCAAGGCCCGGCGGGACCTGCGCAGAGCCAGCCCGGGGATGATTGACGTCAGGAAAAACCCCCTGTAGGCTCGCGGGCAGAGCCTGTCCTGGGGGGACCCTCCGAGCCTGCTGCACGGTCCAGCCGCGTGCCTTCGCTTCTGGGAAGGACAGTCTTTACTTCCCATCGCAGATCCAGGTCCCGAGCTTTACCCAATTGGAGTCAACAAATTCGGGCTACAGCCCAAATGAATTGGGACTCAATTTTTTTTAAATATGCAGACTCCTGCTCATTTCTTTTGAGCTATGGTACCACCTTGCCGTCTTTTGGCTTGAGAGTTTGCAAAAGGCAGTTCTGGTTTCAAGCCTGCGTGTGTGCCCGGCGTTCTGGGGTTCAGCCAGTGCTGGACCCAGAACACTCAGTGGCAACAGGGTTGGGTTTTAAATGGTCTTATGTTTATGGTGGGAATGGGGAAGTTTTGCCTATTTTTAGAATTTTGTAAAACCATTTTATAATAAATGAGACTCTCTGAAGGGAGGAGTTCTGACTTGGTTTGATCTACAAGATAAGAGAATTCCATCTGAGAACACGACAGGCTTGCAAGCTTTTCAGGCTCCCAGTAGGCCACTCTGCGCACCCACCCCCCCAAACAGCTGCATCTCCCCGAGCACAGTGAGGACAGGGCCGGGCCAGGTTTCAGGGCTGACTCGGAGACGCAGAACCAGGAACCACTAGAGCTCGGCCAGAGTGAGTCAACATGAGGCCTCCAGGTTTAAACAGAAAGGCACTGAATGCTGTGCAGCCCGAGAGGATTTTATTATGATGTGGGGAAGGTAAGAAATTGATTCTGCTGTTGGCCGCAGCCTTCAGCTTTGTGAGGGGCCCCTGAGGAGCCCTTTCTCCCACTGGGACTGGCCTTGGTCTCTCAGAGGCGGGGGCCGAAGGGGAGCCTGCTCTTACAATTCCTTGTCTGCCTCCCCAGCTGAGTCAGAGCACCCGCCTCACCACCTCCCTAACAAGGGGCAGGGCTGGGAGGAAGGCACCCCCGGAGGGGGATTAAACCCCCTAAGGGACTCTTGTGGGAATCGGAGGGCTGACACAGTAGAGGACTGGGACCAGGCCCCCAGTACCTGGGGAGAGGCCAAAGGTTTTTTTGGAGAACTTATCTTTTGAGCTTCCTTGGTTTCCAGGGAGCCCTCCAGGGTGACGTAGGACAGCTTAGTCAGGCCCTGGCTCAGATGAACTGAGTTTCTGGGGTCAGAAGTCCTCTGTGCCAGGAGCCTGGAATTCCTGACATGTCCAGAGGAAACTGCTCTCCGAGTACTTCGTCTGGCCTGGGAAGGCAGTGGCTCTGGCCAGGCTCAGTAGTGTGTGGAGGTTTAGGTCCCCCTACCAGTGCCAGCCTAACTAGCTCAGGAGTTTCTTCCGTGTGTAAGTCCTGCTGATGGGGCGTCTCCTGGAGAATGCTCGGCTGAAAGGAGATTCTTCGGCCGTGGGGGGGACGACCTCCATCTCCTCATCTAGAAGAAGGCAGAGGGAGCATGCAGGAAGTGAGGACGGAACAGAAGAGAAGGGGCTTGAACGGGACAGAGGTCCCATGCAGGCAGTGCCTGCCGGTTCGCATGCTGCGCTTCTTTCCAGGCTCCCCACCCTCACGTCAGCGCAGGGCTGGCGGCGGTTTGGAAAAGCCAAGTCCTGCGGTCTGAATTCCCTCAGCTGGATTGTGCATTCTGCTGTTTTGCGTGATTTATATCCTGGTCTCAGGGGAAGGGAATCACCAGAGGCTCCGGCCTCCTGGATTCCCCTTCAGTTCTAGATGTTTCTAATGCAGTGCACTGAGCACCCGCAAGCCGGTCCCTTTCCCGGGTGGGGTCGAGGAAAGGGACCCCTCAAGCCTGAAGGCCGATCCCAGCAGCCAGTCCCTAATCCTAACGCGTGTACGGAAGCATAGGGGTGTAACCCCCCCGGGGGGAGAGGGGCAGGCTGCCACCGTGCCGCCGGACACATGCTCCTCAGGTACCAGTGACTACACCACACGGTAGGTCCCCCTCTGTCACTGCTTCCAGAAACTGCTTCATGACACAGGGGAGTGCTAGTGTGGTTTCTCTGGGAAGAGCACAGGACACTGGAGGGACAAAGTCCGCTGTCCCGGATCGGGCACGCCCTCCGACTCCGCCATCCCACTGCCTGGCCACCCTGAGCGAGCTCTGGGGAGTCACCCGAAGGACCCAAGTTTGGTCCGCCTAAGTCCCCAGGACCTTCGCTCAACAAATTACCTCTGGCCTCAGGACACCGCGAGGAAGGCGTCTTCCCCTGGAACAGCAGCGGGGACTGGGTGAGAGCCTGCAGGCCGCTAGCCGACAGGCAGCTCCACGGCGCAGGGCCCGGCGGGGGCGTGGAACCTACGGGAGGGTCCAGGGTGAGCACGGCCCCGCGGCGCCCCCGCCAAACGAACCGCCAGCTGCCACCCCAGGGCCGCGGACTCACCCGGCACGAACACGTCGTCAGCCCCCGGGGAGGGGACGTGCCGCCCACTGGCACGTGGAGACCACCCCTCGCTCCTGCGCAGCTCTGCGTCTCCTCTCTGCTCCTCACACGCCCTCTTGGCTGGACACTCCGCTTCCTCCTTGGTGGGAAGGAGCCTCTTCCTGGAACCCCACCCAAACTGGCCCCAGGAGAAGGCTTCCTCAGCCTGGGGTGCACTGTCCCTGGGAGGCGACTGGTCTGGCAGCTGGCACACCCCCTCAAGCTCAAAATCCCCCAGGAGGGGAGTCCTGCTGCCGCCGAGGTCAAGACCTCCTCGCTCCCTTCGCTCCGGCTCGAGCAGGAACACGCCGGCAGGGAGGTCCAGGCCGATGTCGCCCCTCCCCGCAGAGCTGCCGCCCCCCGCCCTCTTCCTCCGCGGCCAGTCCTGAATGCTGTCAGGGGTGGTCTTCCCACTGTGTTTGGGAGACGGGGTCCAGGGAACACCGTCTGTTTGAAACGGAGAGGGGGTGCTAGGGGGACAGCGGGTGGGGGTACAGGACTGGCAGATGTAGGTCTGTCCCCCGCTCTTGCCGGGGGTGCTGTGCGAGGGACGAAGGCAGGGGGGCGACACGTAGGTGGCTTCAGGTTTCCCTGAGGACTTGCTGGCCCCGGGCATGCTGAGTCCAGGGAGGGAGCTCTCCTCCCTTCTCGGGGGCTCGGCTTCCGCCAGGCAACTGGTGTCTATCTTTTTAATGCGAAGCTTGGGCAGGCCCGAAGCTTGCATCTCCAACTCCACCTCGTAGGTCTGGGGGCTGGCCGAGGCTTGAGAGAGCCGAGTCGAAGCCTGCAGCTTCTCCAGCGGCGAGGCCGCCTGGCGCTGCCTTCTGTCGGCCGTGCGGCGCAGGGCATAGGACGAGGCCCGGGGAGAGCGGGGCCCGCGGGCAGGAGAGGATGGTGGGCTCCCGGGGGCCGACGGAGAAGGCTTCTCCCGCGCCACCACCGGCCTTGACGCCTCACCTTCCGCTGCCGTGACGTGGCCTGGCGAGCCGTCGCTGCCGTGGTGCTCCGCTTCGTCCAGGACAGCGAGGTGGCCCGGGACACTCGCCCTCAGCACAGGAGAGGACCTACGCCGGTCACTCCCGCAGCCGGTCCCAGAGGGACTGTGTCTTTCCGGGGAAGGCTGGTCCTTTCCAGCGTCTGTGAGGGCGGCTGGGCTGCCAGCTGCAGCAACCCTAGGAGCGGCCGAGGTGCTCGGCTGGCCCTCCAGGGAGCTGCTTTCCAGGTCCGAGGTCTCTCTGTGCCTTCTTCCAGTTTTAGCAGGGGCCCGAGGGGGCACAGGCTCAGACTGGGCAATCTGCGGGATTCGGGGGGGCGTGGAGGGACCAGGCCAGGAGAGAGACGAGGCTACGGGGGGTGCTTTCTGGGGCTCTTCCCAATCCAGTTCTTCGGGGGGAGGAGATTCTATCGAAAATTCCCGAAATGGACTCTTGGCAATTTCACCTAAGGGAGAGGCCAAAGGTTTTTCTGGAGAAAGAAGCGGGGCAGAAGTCAGATTGGTGCTCCGAGGTGTCTTGGGGACTGAGGCAGCTTTATCCCTCCATTTGTGTGTGAGCTCCTCTGCCTGAGAAGCCCCGGGAACATGGGGAGGGGGGTGCGCTGGATCCGGAGGGGTTTCTCTTCGCCCCGCTGAGGCTGCTGCTCTCGGAGGGGTTCTCAGCGCGGACCCGACGGGCATCAGACCCTCACTCCCAGTCAGGCCTGCTGGGCAGGAGGTGCTTTCGGGACTGGAAGTCACTGGGGGTGGCCAAGTAGAATTCAGAAATCCCGGCGGCTGGCCCCCTGGCCTTTTGGGAGTTCTTGGTATCTTCTTTTCAAGAGGAGAGGTTCCTCCTTTTGCCAGGGAGTGTCCTTTCCAAGGAGTGACTTTGGGTTGAGATGGTGAATCCCAGCTATGTGAGGAGTCTTTTAAGGACTCCTTAAAAATGACCTGTTTGGCAGGAGTCACTTCTGTAGGGGGTTTCCGCTGCCTTTCCGGGGTGCACAGTGGAGTTTGTGGTGTACGAGGGAACCTTCTTGGGGTAGCTTTAGAAGAACCTGGAGATTTCCGGTTACTCTTCTTAGGAGTCTGTAAAGAGATGCTTATTTCAGTGCCTAAATATCATAACCCCTATTCTCCATTGAGCATTTTAGTCCTCTCTAAGGCAATGAGAAAGGCAGATGGGAGATTTCTGGGTGGCCAATGGAATGACCGTAAGCTGATTTCCAATAGCGACACGTTTCCACTTCCAACCATGACCCAGATTTCACTTGTCTGTTTTTTCCTAGCACCAAACACTGAATCTAATCTTGGGTCTAAGACAAAAAATTTCCGTAATATGCATACGGCAGCTAAACCAGGCTTTGCCTTGAATGGTGTGTCACTCTACCACTCACAGCTACCCTTCTCTTCAAGGAGATAGCGCCTTCTGATCTCTGCCTAACGTGGCCTCCGGGGGTCACGTCCTCTGCTGTTCACCTGCATTCAGCACGCGCTTGCTACGCCCCCACTGTGCTGGGCCCTGTGTGAGTGTACGTGCCGGTGACGGGACGTGCGGTATGGAATACCCAGACAGCTAAGGTACAGCGGCACAGAGAACATCTCCGGAAGGAGACTCCCCAGCCGCAGATCTCCCTCCCTTCCTGCAGAAGGCAGTTACGCACCCAGCATATAAAGGAGATCAGACACCTTTCGTTTCTATTTGATTATCTCAAGGGAATCCTGGTCTATGGGCATTTCATGTTCAATGGGGCACAGCCAGATGACAACAGCGTCACCAGTGCACCGACAGGGCCACACACGGGACAACGTGGGAGCACAAGAGCAGGCTGGCTGTCTAACCCAGCTAGCAGGAAAGGGGGACAGGAACAGGGAGTCAGGTCTTTAAGAAGGGGGTGTCAGCAGGTGAAGGCCAAAGGTGGGGAAGTAGGAACTCTTCCTTTGCCTAAAATCGCAGCAGCAGCTGTGTGCAGGCCAGCGTGCAGCCTGATAGGGCCGGGAAAGTGGATTATGAAGCAGGAGGTGGTGAGA